TCTGGCTGTGGTAGGCCCATTTAGAAGCAGGGGGGAAAAAAAAAGAAGCAGCGGGAAGAAGAGAAGGTTTCTGCAATGGTCTGGATGAGAGGCCCCAGAGGTGGGAGGCCCCAGAGGACACATTCTGAAAGGAAAGCCTGTAGGGTTTCCTTGTAGAAAAAGGGTGGTCAAAACTGTTGCCAGGTTTTTGGCTTGGGTGCTGGAAGGATGAAGTGGTCTTCAAGGGAGAAGGGCACGCTGCGGGGGGGGGGGGGGGGTTGGAGGGGGGCAGTGTAGATGGACTGTCTCCAAAGCTCCTCCTAGTTGTGCAGTGAAAACACTTTGAAGACACAAAGCCATATCCTCAACAGAACGTCTTGCGTTATCTAAGCCACAAAGTCTCCCCAGGAGTCTTGGGCCAGGCGCGGAGGAGCTTAGACAAGCCAAGCCCCAAGCAGGCAGCTTTCTCCAGAAACAAGCCACAAACCGTTACAGCACTTACAGCCCCACGTGGGTCAAGAGCATCACACAGCCAGGCTGGGGGGGGTGGGGGGGGGGTGCCCAGAAGGGCTAGAATGCCTCACCACTGGCCCTGGCCCGGTCTCTCTTAGGAACCTGGGGCACCTGCCCACCTCCACCCTCTCCCCTGCTCACCAGTGTCCCCTCCACCCCCTTTCCTGCCTTCCCCCTTCTGCCCTCCCTCCACTCCGCCCAGCTTCTTCCTCCCACATGCCACTGTTGTGACAGCGAAACAAAGCTCGTTATCTGAAAGTTAAGTTGGCTGCTCAGTCTTCAGGAAGACACAAGAGGCCCAGCAGATGGTGGGGCCTCTCCAGGATCGGCCTCAAAGGTCACCGTCTGTCACTGCCCACCCGCTCCAGCCTCTTCCACATCAATGGAGTCTCTCGTGCTGGTTTCAGGTCCAGCCACAAGCTGTGCAATGACATTTCCTGTGGGCCGACTGTGTGCCAGGCACCGTGCTAGGCCCTCCCTGGACATTAACTCCTAATTCTCTCACCTGGCCTAGGAGACCATTATCATCCCCATTTAACAAGCGAGGAAATACACAGAGGCACAAACAAGCTAAACAATTAGCCAAGATGGCAAGGACTGGCTAGCCTCCCCTTCTTCAAGCCTCAGCTTTTTTGCCTGCTGCAAATGAGGGCGGGACTCCGTGTAATGACTTCTGGATCCTTCTAGCCCTCACAAGTCTGCGATTTGAAAACTGCTTTCTTCTGAAGGCGCTTAACATGTTCCTTCTCCCCCCCAACAACGGCTGCTCTCAAGAAAAGATCTTATTGGCTTATTCACCCTATGGTGCAAATGCCCTATATGGTGAGCGAACTCTGGGGGCATGAAGATTCAAACCCAGGCCTAACTGGCACCCAAACCTGGGCTGTCCCAACATAGCACTGCATAGGCCACATCCTCAGGCTTTAGGATGTCTTCCAAAAGGTATGCTTTACACCTATCAGTATTCCCTGTCTCCGGAAGAGAGCCAAAACGAGGATGAAGGGACAGAAAGTAAGGGATATAAGCTATCAAGTCAGATCCAAGACTACTCAGAGTCAGGGCTTCTGGTCCCCACAAAGGCCTGAGTCTCACTTCCAACCCAGTTTATTTGGACAGCAATCTGGAAGGAGTCAGGCCTGGGAGCTGGGGACCCGCCTTCTAGCTCCGCCCTGTCACTTAACAGGGGTCAGATTCCACCTCTATACGAAGGGGAGTTGGCCCTTCCAGCTCCAGTAGCTGGGAGGTTTGCTCACCCCCTGGCCCTGACTGCACCCCATTAGCTTTTCGCCAGGCAGGAAATCACCTCTAGTGTCCCCAAGCCCAGAGCTCCTCTCTGAACTGTGCACAGGAAATTCACCTCTTGGAGGAAGGGGAGCTATAATCACAGACTCTGGTGGAAGCTCCCAGCAGGCCCCACTTATTGGCCTTGGCAGAGCAGGGCTGCAGTGGTGCCCTTTGAAACAGACACCTGACACAGCTGCTGTCCCTGCCTGGGTGCCCCTCCCTCATGCTCGCCAGCCTGGGGCCTCTGCTCCCTTTGCCTCTGTAAATGGTTTCTAAGTTTCTCACCCAGCCTCTCATTTCTATCAGTTTAATTATTGAGGAGCCCTCTTGTCGCCAGCCTGGAACATTAACGCTGTTAAAAGGAACCCAGGGAATGCAGACCACAGATGACTGACTTCTTCTGGCTCGGTCCCCATCTCTGTGCCCTCCCCCTCCCTTCCCTTTTCCAACGTGTCCCTTCTGTCCCCCATTCCTTCTCTCCTCCCAGGTCTCTACCCCCCCCCCCCCCCCGGTCCCGTCTCTCTTTCTGAGCAGCCAGGGAGACTCCTGACCCTCTGCCCCAACCCATTCATCTCTCTGTAATTGGAGGAAGCACAGATAAAACTGAGGCCTGGGCCATGTTCACAGGGAAAATGAAACACTTGTGAGCCCCTGGCTGGTGATGCACTTTGGCCCAGGCACCCTCACCCCACCAGAGACCTTTCTCCAACCAAAGAGGGGCGAGCACAGAGGTCACAGCGCCTTCCCATGTGGGGCCACTGGATGCCTCATCTCAAAATATCCATGTTTCCAAGAACATGCTCACCATTCTTGGAGCCTTTACCCTGTGTCACGTGACACCGCTCCACTCCTTTGATCCTCTCTACCTCCCTATAAAGTGGGCACTGGCTTGCCCCTGGGAGATGGCAGGGAGGCACTCACCGAGGTCATAGCCCCCAGGGCCCCATCAGGCTGTTTTCTAAAACATCCAGAGTAGGGGCGCCTGGATGGCTCGTTCGGTTGAGCATCCGACTTCAGTTCAGATCATGATCTCATGGATCGTGGGTTCGAACCCTGTGTTAGGGTCTGTGCTGACAGCTCAGAGCCTGAAGCCTGCTTCTGATTCTGTGTCTCCCTCTCTCTCTGCCCCTCCGCCACTCACACTCTGTCTCTGTCTCTCAAAAATAAATAAACATAAAAAAAAATTAAAACATCCAGAGTCACCAAAAGTGTTTAATAAAGAGCTCCAATAAGGAAACTGCAGCAGTCCTATCTGTGGTCTGGCCTTCTCCAAGGCTGGGGGTCTAGGCCCCATCCAGACAGACTGACAAGGAGTCTGGGGCTTGTCCCCTCTGCTGATGACCAAAGTAGCCTCACCTCTCAGGCCTGGGGCAGGCAGGCTGAAGTGATGACTCAGCTAGCCCAAGCCATCACCATCATCAGGCCCTGGCCTGAGCAGCTGAGCCCGGCTTCCTCCTCCACTCTGGGTCTCCGTTCCTCAATGCAAAACAGGGAAGGTGGGAAGGCTGGACCAGGCTACCTATTCCCAAGCCATCTACCAGGAATGACCTCAGGCAGCACAGCCCCCCAGAGGTTGTTCAGATTGTCTATTGCAAAGTTTCCTTCATCTTAATTCTGCATTCTTCGTAATGCATCCATTTGTTGGAAATTTAAGATAGTGTTCCTAGACAGTGTTTCATAAAACCACCAAGTAAAACCAACACTCCAGAAAGGCCTATAGGTGAGACAGCACAGCACATGGCCCCACAAAGTTCCAACCCCCACTCCACACTGTGACGGGACAACTCTAGCTTCCTTTCTTTACCACTCGTCCCCACCCCCATCCCCAACATGGTGACCTTCCACACCATCCACCCCCACTTCTATCCACGCTCCCCAAAATGCCCCCAAGTACGGATGCATCATGGGACTGGGCAAATGGACTCCAGAAAAGGTCCAGGTGAGAGAGCTTCAGCCTCAGACTTCCCACTCTGCATGGGCCCAGACAGCCTCTCTCAGCCCACTGCACCCAACTCTGGAGACTCTTGAGGAGAGAAGGGGCCATCTCCAAAGGCTGAGAGCCTAACACCAGGGTGAAGGAGGGACCCAGCAGCTTCCTCTGGGCTTTCCTTCCTCCTCTTTCCTCACATTCTCCCTCCCTCTCTCTCTCCCTCCTCCCCCCCTTACACACACACACACACACACACACACACACACACACACGCAGTCGCACACGCACACACAAACACACAGAGCAAACAAGGCAGGCTCCGAGAGCAGAGCGGCTCATAATTATTGGTAAAATGCTTGTAATGTTTTTCTCTCTACCCGGTAGCTTTCAGTTGTTTTAGCAGCTTAGCGAAGCACTTGGCTCCAATTGAATTGCAAATCAGCAGCTCTTGCCCCAGGAAGAGAGGAAGGGAGGTAGCAAGGAGGGGGCAGGGAAGGATTCCAGAAGGAAAGGGAGAAAGGTGTGCAAGGAAGAAGGGCAGGTGGAAGGAAATGAGCAAGGGAAGCCTAGTTCGGGGCCAAGGGCAACAGAAACAGAGACTGCCTGCTCCTTCCAGGCCCTTTCCCTGTCCTCATCCATTCTCTATGGGTTCCGTAGCCCAATGCCCCATCCAAAATATCAAGACACATTTTCTAACCATAATCTTGGGGTGGAGTAGGAGGGCCACACAGGGCTCTCTCAGCTACTAGAAGAAAAACATATCTTTCTTGGGAATTGCAATTATTTGAAAACAATGTCAAAACAAAAGTCTTGCTTTTTCTCCCTGGCAATCTCCAACATTTGTATTTCGATTCTATCTCTCTCTCTCTCTTTTACTCTCTTTACCTTTCTATCTACCTATATTTCCATGTATCCATCTGCCTGTCTTTATATATACATATATCTGTCCTCCTAGCTCCTCCTCCCTTCTGTTGTTCAGCACTTCCTTTTCCCCTCTTGGTTCAGCATTCCCCACTGAGGAGTGCAGTTGATCAGGCCGCGTGTGCTGTTTCAGCACCATGGTCAGCACCACAGCACTGGGTCCCTGCCTGACACCTCCACTCTGCTGAGCCTAGGCTTTAACCATAGGACTGCCCCCAAATTCTCATATATTGCTCCCTGGGAAACATACTCTCTTCCCCAGAGTCCAGGAAGGAACAGGAGAAAGAAGCTGGCCAGGCCTGGCACCCTGGGTGTGGAGGGCTGGGGCTGTTGGTACAAACACACATCTGGGGCCAACCAGCCAGGCACTAACCTTGAAGAGACGGAGGATGTTGGCCACCATGATGGAGACTGAGCTCCCTGAAGCACCGATGACACCCACCACACGTTCAGGTTTGGTGATGATGGGTGGGCCGCCACTGCCACAGCGGACCTCCGTGCCATCCTTCTCGATGAGCGCCTGCACAAAGGTCAGCGACTGCTCGAGGGCATGGGTGTCCCTCGAGCAGGTGTCCAGAATGCGGGCGCCCAGCGTGATGTTGGGCAGCAGGTCCGGGTCATTGTTGATGCGATCCAGGGCAAAGAGCATGGCCTCCAGTCGGTGGATGCCCTTTTCCTTCTTAAGTTCTCCACAAGCCTTGCCCTCTGAGCCCCGGCCGTGCACAGGGAACAGGCCTCCCAGTGTGATGTCCCCATCTATGCGGATGGAATTCATGTGGGGGTGGCCCTTGGGCTTCCCCAGGGAGGAAGGCATCCAGGGGCCATAAAGGCTAAGGAGCAGGCAAAGAGGCAGCCGGGCCCACCACCAGCCCCAGCCTGTCTTCCCAGGCATCTCGGAAATCCCTAGAGACCCATGAATGGCGGGCCCCACTCCTAGCCTTGGCAGGCCCCTAGCCCCGCAGCCTGGGTGAGCATAGGCAGGGCAGCCCCCACAAGTCTCTCTGGGGCAGCTTCAGCAGCAGGGTGGCCAAGGACGGCCAACAGGGTAACCCATGCTGGTGCTCCTCGCCACTCAGGCAGTGCTCAGTTGCCGACACAGGCCATGCCCATGGGCGACAGGGAGTAGCCAGGGAGCAGCAGAGCTCCAGTCTTGGTCCCCACGTCCTGCAGGCCTGTTCTTGATGGATGAATGTGAAAACAGGAGAGTGCTCCTAGCTTGATGTATCTTGGCATCAAGGAGAAAACAGCTCCAATGCTCTCCTCCTATCAACCTTAGAAGGGAGAGAGAGAGAGAGAGAGAGAGAGAATCAAACAGAAGCCCAAAGAAGACATTAGCTATTCTGATCGCTCATGAGGAGTTTGAGAGAAGGAGACACTGGAGGTTATCACCACAGGCTCCACAACTCTGAACTTGGCTCTTGGAGCTGCTGCTCAACTTTGGTTCAAGTGGGGGAGCCCGAGGCAGAAACTAGGTCATGTTTGAAGACTTCTTAAGGCCTGTACCCACTGCCATCAGAAACCTAGGCATCAGAGAGCGCAATTCCCAGGAACAGCCTGGAACTGGCTTGGGTGGAAGAGAGGTCTTGCTCACCCACATGAAGGAGTAGCAAGAAACCAGTTTTGCAGGGCCCAACCCCATTTTAGAGATGAGGAAACTGAGGCCCAGAGCAAGAGAGCATTTTGCCCAAGTCACACAGGTAGTGAGAAGTGAAACACTGTGTAGAGCCCAGCTTCCCAGCTGCCAGCTCTGGAACCAGAGACACTCAGGCTCCTTGGGGACTCGGAGAGAGACCAGGAAAGCCAGTAAGGCCCCCTGCAGAAGAAATCAGGCTGAGAGCTGCTAACTCTGAAGGCCAGGGAGAAGGTGGGGCTGTTGGTTCCCGGATTCTCCTCCTCGAACAATGCCAATTTCACATTGCCACCCCAGGCTGAGGGCAACCCCAGGGGCTCCCAGTTCAAGAGGCAAGCCTTGTCATGTGCTTGGCCTCCCTCCCCCACCCTCTTTCTGTTGGTCTTTATCTCTCCCATTTCTCTGCTGCTCCTTCTCTCTCCCCCACTTCCTCCCTCTGAGAGTGGGGCTCAGGTTACGGCCTGAGCTACTGCACATTATCATGACCATTGTCATTATTATTGTTGTTGTGATTAAATATTTATCTGCAAGGGTAGAAGAGACAACACCAGCTCTTCCTCATTCTCGCTGCTAATTTGGGCTAATTTCCCCTGGGGTTCCTTCCTTGGCCCCAGCCTCCCTCTCAAAGCCAGCAACCTCCCTCCCCTCAACTGAGAAGGCCACAGGGAGAAGAGCTAGAAGCTGAGTCAGGTATTGGCCGGGGGCCTCACTCTAAGGCCCCCCGGCCCCAAGGGGTTTGTCAGATGAAGACTAGCAAGCCACTTCTACGCCTCAGTTTCCCTAGCCATTTGGAAGAAGGGCTTGTGTTTGGATCAGGTTTTCCTAGCAATGTGGTCCCTGCATCAAGGCCAGGCGGGGTCTCGGAGCCACCCGTCCCCCGCTTGTAGTTCCCTCCACACAGGAATTACTGACTGTTCCGGTTCTGGGGAAAGGAGAGGAGCGAAGAGGGTACAGCACCCAAGGGTCCAGCCTCAATTCCTGGGCTTCTCTGGCAAGCGCCCTCTGGATCCTCATTTCACACCTGACCCCTCATCAAAATGTTCCCTCACCCATTAGCTCCTCAGAGGCCAAGAACACAACTATTAATTCTCACTCTGCAGGTGAACCGAAAGCCCGGAGGCATCACATAACTCTCCCAAAGTCACACAGCAAGATGGGTCAGGACTCAAAGCCAGCACCAGTCATACTGGGAGACCTGGGGAAGCCTGCAAGAAGTCTTCCAAATAACCACCCTCACCCATGAAGCTAGGATCCAGTGACTGAACACTGGGGGTCAGTGCTCGGAGGAAGGCTTAAGAGTGAAAGCTGTTAAAATGCGGGGAGGGGACGGCTACACCTGAACGGACCTGTCATCCTCACCTACACCTTCATGTGGGTGAGTTTAACAGCTCGCTTTCCTGGAGGGCCATGTGGGTACTGGCTGCTGATGCCAGGACTGGGCAATTCAGAAAAGAGAAACTGGAGAAGGCTTCAAGAGCGCCCACAGTCCTGCCATCCCCTAGAGGTTCTCAATTTCAAAATCTCTAAAATGGAAGGCTTGGGGCACCTGGGTGGCTCAGTCGTTAAGCATCCGACTTTGGCCCAGGTCATGATCTCACGGTTTGTGAGCTCGAGCCCCACGTCAGGCTCTGTGCTGACAGCCTGGAGCCTGGAGCCTGCTTCGGATTCTGTGGCTCCTTCTCTCTCTGCCCCTCCCCAACTTGTGCTCTGTGTCTCTCTGTCTCTCAAAAAATAAGTGTAAAAAAAAAATTTTTTTTTTAATAAAATAAAATAAAATGGAAGGCTTGGAGTACGATGCAGTCTAGTGGCCATACTGCCCCTGCAGGCCATTCTCAGTTGTGACAATGATGGGAAGGAGTCACCTCCGGGCCTGCATCCATCCCCTGGGTGGGACAGCCCACACGATGAAACACTGTCCTGTCCAAGTGCTCTGATGCCCACGGAGAGATAACTTCAAATGACATCATACTGCCAAGTGCCAGGCGCTACACTAAGGGCCTCGCTTACGTTTTCCCAGGTGACACTCACGCCTCCGGGAGCTGGGCGGTATTCCTATCCCCACCACACAGACGAGGAAGCCGAGGCTCCGAACCTCAGACAGTGGCCCACGGCACACAGCGCCACGCAGGCCCCTGCCCCCAACCCCCCACCACGCCGGCCCAGAGGGGCTCTCGGGCCCTGCCCAGTCCCACAGCCTACAAGTTCAGGCTTGGTTTGCCTGAATTCAAAGTGGAAGGATTTTTGGCATCGTGACAGGCTGTGTGCCGAGGCCGCAGCAGGGCAGATTCAGGCTGGGAAACCAATGAACAGCAGCTTCTGACGGTCAGGCCCTGCTCAGGCTTTCAGATTCTTCGTGAGGGCTCAACACCGGCTTCTCCTTGAAGCCCCAGCCCCTTCAGACTGAGTGATGTGCATAGACAGGCACGTGTACACACACACACACATACACACACACACACACACAAACATACCGGAAACCACAGACAGACACACATACACGATGGGGAAGGGCAGAGGCTGCATGGAGGAAGAAGCCCTCAGCGAGGAGAAAAACAAATACTTGCAGGGTTAGAATCAAGACCCCAAGGCCCCGGGCCCTGCCCCAGGCTGGCCAGACTGCCCTCCGGCTTCCCTCCACCAGCACTGGGCCCAGCCCCTGCCTAGTGGGCCCCTCTCCACCCCTCAGCCCTGCCAGGTCTGCCTTTTCTGAACATTTCCAAAGAGCTGGGCAAACCACCGCCTCTTTTAGCCTCCCCTCCTTCCTTTGATCCTGTAACAGGAACAAGGGAAAAGTAAAAATACTCTGAGGGTGAAAGGAGCCACCAAGAGCAGAGGCTGGGGGTAGGGCAGGAGGGGGAGCGAGGCGTCCTTCCATACCCCACAGGGCGGCTCCATCTTGGGGAAGGGGGGCCACATCAGGGGAGGCTTGGAGTCCTCAGACCACACCCCGAATTCTAAAAGAGCCAGGAAAGCTCATACCTCGGACATTTTGGGGGGGAGGGGATCTATCACTCCCCAAATGAAGTCACCAAGAAGGCGGAAGGTCTATGCCAGTGTGCCCACCCACTCCCAGTGGGGCCTCTTATTCTATCCTTCCCCACCTCTCTCTGCCAACCCCTGTATTCCCTTCCCCTCTGCCCCCTGCCAGATCTCTGGCCCCAGGCAGGCAGGGAGGGATGAGGAGTGGAGGGAAAAATACGCGGTCATCTCCGCACACAACAGTTCACCGGCCAACCGCATTTTTCGGAACATTCTCTTCAGGGAAAGGGGATGTGAGGAGAGCCGGGGAGTGGCTGCAGTGGACCCTCCCCCCCACCCAACCCAGCCACCCCACCATCTGAGAGCCTCTCTGCTATCTGCGGGCCTGCAGGGAGAAACTCCACCAACCTGCCTCAGTGACCCCTTCCAAGTCCTAACAAGCAGGACCCCATGCTTCCTCACGTCTAACCTAAATCCTTCCTCCCACAACCAGGGCCTGAGCCAGGAAGAACCACAAACCACGGAACAATGACCAGATCCAAAGAGACGCGCCGTGATTTACTCTGATTTACTTTTCACGAAGCTGCTTTTTATTCTCCCAAAACTAAGGAAATAGAATTCTCCCAAACACCAAAGTAAAGGGCAGAGTCAGAGGGACTGATCCTGCACTTTGCTTGGGGGGGGGGGGGGGGGGGCAACACCTCCAGAGCGACCCATTCCTGCTTTCAGCCTTTGAGGGGACCCTCAAGCTGTGGCTCTTCACCCCTCCAGGCTCAGCCGGGAGACCCAGGCCCCCTGTCCTCTGCCTTCCTCTGAGCCATACCTCTAGAGCTGCTGGCAGCCCCTTCCCCTCGGCCTTTCCATGGTCCCTCCAGCACGTTTTTTCATCTCTATTCACCTTTGCCTCAGCGGGGCCCAGCCCAGCCCAGGTGCTCAGAAAAGCTGGGGCATCGGGAATGGATGAGTATCTCACATTTCCACAGGAGGGTCTGGCAGCTCCGGTCCCCGCCTGGAAAAGGTGAGGGGGAACCAGAGGCCTCCCTGCTCCTTCCTGTACCACCCCGTGCCCACAGGAGCCCATGAGGACCCGAGACGCCGGACGGCAGGCCACCTCTGCGGCCACCTCTCTCCTATCCCCCTTGGGCCCCCGCACTGGCCACACAGAGGTGTGCTTTGCTGGATGGTCTCCTCCGATATGGACAAGGCTTAGACCCAAGGAGCAGGTAATAGGAAGCTGCAACCCCCTTCCCCCCCCCGCCAATTGCACCAGCAACAGGCCCCGTGGTTTGATATCCGCCCGTGTGACTCCCAGTCTGTGGGGAAAGGTGGATGGTCAATGAGCTCCCTCAAACCCCCGCAGCCCAACCCTCTCCCCACAGGGACCACAACTGGAGGGGATCGTGTTGTACTCGTCTTGACATCTCTGCACCCCAGCCTGGCACAGTGGAAGTTTGGGAAAGTGAATGAATGATGTGATGGGAGTGAATGATTCTGGACTCTTCCCACCCCCTCTCCCGGGTCATCAATTTCAATATTAATAGAAACAGCAGCCCTTCTCCTAGATACTCCCTGAGCCAGGCCGCGGTCTAAGAACAAGGAAGAGGGCACAGTGGGCGTCTGGGCCCCCTGCCCCCTTCCTTCCATGTCCCCCAGCAGCTCCAG